TGAAGTATTTCCTCCCGCGATTGAAATTGTAGCTTTGCAATGATTGCAAAGAGCCTTCTTGCCATCTTTTTCGTTTTTAAAATGAAGCCAAACTTTTGATCTCTTTACTTGGTGTGGCGCCATTTTTTTGCTTTCCTTTTTTGCCTAGTCACGTCGTACTTGCTTACTGAACGCCGTGTGCGTAACTTGCATAAAAAACGTGATGTAAGTTGTGCTCCCCAGAGCCGGCGCTTTAGGCTCTGGTGCTGCGGGAATCGAAAAAAGAATCGTTCAGCGAGCTGCCAAACGATGCCATGGAATCGGAAAATATGGAACCGGTTCTGAACAGGAACCGGTTTTCGATTCCCGTCCCTAATTACTAGCCTGATAAACCAGAATAAATGTGTGTTTAAATGTGTTATTTAGTCTGGCCCAGATGAACGAGACGTCGGAAGATTGTTGATGAGAACAACCCGTTGTTTTTCAAACCATGTCTGTGCCTATTGGCCAACGCCTGACCAATTAGCGCAACTGACTGTGACGTAGGAAGCGCCACAGGAAGCTGGTGGGGGAGTGTAAACAAACAGCCTGTCGGTAAAACAGTGAATACGTCCTTCTTAAAAATGTACAAGCGTAGAGCCTCTTCCTGCTCACGTTTCAACGAAAACCCAAAGTCTAATCCTTCCAGAACTGAATCCAAAGCTGAGTCAAACCAGAACTGTTCAATAGTTGTTTCCATCTTCCTTGTTGTGCTTTCTCCAGGGTCGTGCAGCTTTGCGGTCACGCTCAAACGCGTTCAAAACCCCACCCGCTTTGCATCCAGACATTCAAAACACATCTCTGCGTTGTGATTGGCCCGCCAGTTCTAGGGCCTGGGGCATTGATCAAGGCTACTGCAGGCAAAAATGATTTTGGCTGCTGGTGGGTGGGGCTAGTTTACTAGGCTACTATGTTACCAGAATAAACAAAGGAAATAATTAAATTAAAATAAAACCTTTTGAATAATTTTTAAGATGCTATTGAGATTAAGGGCATTAAAAAACTTATACTTTTTAGGAAATTTTGGTTCTTTTTAATGTTGTAGCTATATTGTTGTTAATGATTGTTTACCCATTATGTGTAAGTCCTACATTGGAAGTCGTCCAGTCATATATATATATATATTTGTAAAATATTATTTCTCTTTTTTTACATACAGGAAATGCTAAGACAGATACATTGGTTAATCTTATTTTTTGTTGAAGTTGTGAGTTTCCAGCTCTTTAAACAATTGAATTAGCTCCCTTAAATGCCTTGGCAAGTTACATGGAAATTTATGCTATACAAATAAACCTAAACTGACATAAAATGGAAGACTGTTTTTAAAAACATTCTTAAGCCCCTTTAATGTTTATTGTCATATTTTTTGTATTCTTTTTATTCGTGCCATGGTTATTTCTGGGTGTTTGTCACTTGCCGTTTATCATTGTTGACAATTTACACATTTATTTGTTTCATTTTCCTCCTGTCCTTCATTCTTTGTTTAATCAATTTACTTTTTCTTTCTTTTCCTCTTCCTTCTTTGGGCTTTTCTGTCCTCAGGCCAGTGCTTCTCAGTCCATCCTTGCATGAAGATTGACTGGGGCATGAATATATCACAACTACCCATCCATGCCTCCCCCTCCCTCCGCTCTCCTATTTTACCAAGATCCCTCTCTCAGCACTTATCTCAAACTTTGAATCTCATGCATTTTAATCAACACGTCTAT